GTGGAAGGAGACCAGAAAGCCCTAAGTATGACTGTCAGAGAGACTGAAAAGGTGAATGATGAATCAAGACAGAAAATCCAACATTTTTGCGTTGAACTTCGGGATGGAAGAACCTTAAAAGCCCGGCAGGTTGTTTTGGCAACAGGTCCAACTCGTTCTCAAATGTCCAACATTCCTGAATGGGTTGAAAACATTGAAGAGAGTTACCCTGAGGGACGACTGCAACACACAGTTCATCTTATGCACAACCTGCCAAACTCTAAGCAAAGACACCTGGAAACAGAAATTCAGAAGCAGGAGGAGACTTCGACCAATCAAGGTAAGGAAGATTTCACCTTCAAATTATGATTATGACCAGTAGATGATAAATTTTGATGTTAAAAAGCATTCATCTAAGCCCATTTTTATGCCTTGAAACACTCAGACTTTATCCTCAGTCTAACATGGACCCACAGTCCCCGAAGTCCTTCATGAGCACTGTATACATATGTGTGTCTGTTACATGTAGTATGTGAGGCAGGGCAGAGAGTAATGGTAGTTGGTGGAGGTCTGACCAGCGCTCATGTCGTCTCAATTGCCCTGCAGCAAGGGGCCAGCCATGTGACATGGGTCATGAGAAAACACCTGCAGGTCTAGTGACTATGTAAAACAGCATGTGGATCAAACAATAAAAACAACACGGCAGGGGCATATTTGTTTTCCAAACATAGCCTTGTTTAACCTTTCTCCCTTAGCTGAAACAATTTGATGTCGGTGACGTGGAGAGTCTGGTAGGCCGTTACTCTCATGTGGAGCATGGCATAAAGATGGATGGCCAGGCCTACCTACGGCAGTTCTATAATGAACGCAGCCTTCACAAACGTCTGGCTATGATACGCCAGGCAAGGAAAGGAGGCGCCATCACCCCAGAGGCATACATCCATCTTCAGCCATCCATAGAGAGTGGACAGGTGGAGCTGAAGACATTCTGCCAGGTAATGCAACATGTGAATGCCTGCCTGTAGGCGCTTTGAATAAAACTATTACTGTAAAACAGCATAACTGTCATGTTTCAGCCACAGATAGAAACTAGGACTGAGCTGTTGGCAAAGCTTGGTGTGTTTATTTAGGGCAATCCAGGTAATCTTGGTCAGAAAAGCAGAGGGTCAAAGCCAGGGAATCCAAGGTTGGGAAGAAGTTCAGGCAGGCAGAATAACTGGATAAAAATATAAAAGAAAACAAGTAGGTTAGATCTTGCCAGACCTGGTCTGTTTTAGCAAATGGCCTGAATGTGTTACCACTGGATGCAGACAACAATCTGGCCTTGTGCAGGTGGAGGATCCGTCCTTCAATGGCTGCAACTGCTGATTAGAGTGATGAATCCCAGGTGTGTGGGTCACAGCAGGGGAGCAGGTGTGACAATAAATTTGAGCTAAGGTTTTATTTTAAGTCTGTATAACTCAAAGACTGTTAGTAACAGTTATTACAGGACATGTTCTTTCCCTGCAGGGATTACACTGCGAAGCAGAAAATGCTATTTTGGGTGGGCTCCGAAAAATCCTCATGTTTATGTTAACAACTGTATACAATATTTTTAGAACACAACGGTGGTTAGATAAGAAAAACAAGCTGAGCAATTTGTTGATTTTACCAGTTAGTTTCTATTGGTTTATTTGTGGATCAACTGGTTAACTGTACAGGTGAACGAGGCCAGTTGGTGTTACAGGTCCCAAACCTGGAATCTGTCCCTCAGCTCTGGGGACCAATGGACTGGAGATAGGATCTGGCTCGCAACTGGCTGCAAACTTGATGTGAAACAGGACCCACTTCTTTCTGATGTAATGAAGAAATTCCCGATACAGGTAGGTTAGGTAAATCCATCAAAAAGCTAGATTTGTCCTTTTTTTGTTTGTGTTGTGTTTCAACTTACTGTTGTGCTATCTTGAAGTATTTTCACTTATATCCGTCTTGTCAACCTTGAAGGTGGTTGATGGTTGGCCTTGTATATTAGAAAGCTTACAGTGGATGGAAGGATGCCCACTCTACCTGATGGGACAGTACACTGCTCTTCAGGTAGGCTTCATTTTGAATGCCTCACTGGAGAAATCATGGTTCCAAAAAAATAAGGTCCAGTCTTCTTCTGTTTTCCATATTTCTACACAGATTGGACCTCATGCTGTAAATCTAGCTGGAGGACAGGCTGCTAGCATGAGAATTGCCAAGGACATTGTGCATTACCAGAAGCAAAACAGAGAACAGGATCCTCAAATAGGACAAGTCAAATCCAGAATTGAAGAATATATCAAGCAGATGGAAGGATTTTTTTGGCTTTAATTTTCCCCTTTTAACTTTCAGATGTCATTGAAATATAAGCTTCATCTGTAACATATAGTAATCAATTGGTATTCTATAACATGATTATGAGGGGCATGATTCAGAGGAGGACATCATGAACGTCATAAAATTGAAAAAGTAAAAAAAGGCCCCTTTATTATGTTATTAAGTTGTTTTCCAGTATTGTGATGTTTTGAATTTTAGGATTTTTTGTTTTGTTTTGTTTTTTGTGTTTTATTTCGATTTTCTTGTGGATGTTCTGCATTTTATTTATTCTTTATTTTTCTATTGTTTTACTGTTACCAGCTGGCATTTTGACACAAAGCCCCTCTGGAGTCAATATAAAGTAGTTGTGTTGAATTTTGTTTAAATTTTTTAAGTTTAATCAATGAAATAGCAAAGTTGAAATCACGATTGAAATAATGATGATTACCCATACAACTGGTTAACATATCAATGCTGAATCAAAGGTGAGTAAACACCATTTCAACTGTTATTTAAAAAACAAAGTGGGTATTATATACCAGCTGTTTGCTATAACCTTTTATTGTGTTTTTGTGTGAATGAAAGAAAATAAAGATTGAACAAATATAGTTTTTTTTTTTTCATTTTGAAGCGCAGTTTGGTTGAATAAAAAGAAACATTACACATGTAGGTTTAAATATTTCACAACTATCTGATTTTTTGCTAACTTTCTAGTTTTGTTTTCTTATATAGCAAATCATGATGAAAAAAATCAGATCTTTTGTTTTTTACACTTATTATTACACTTTAATTAATTCTAAAAGCTGGTATAGTATGGAAGCCAATCGTTACCATATTTAAAATTAAAAAGCATTTTTTTAGAAATGCTTTTTTATTGTACTGTAAGACTGTGGCTGCATTGTTTGACTCATAAATGAAATTATCAATCAATAATCCTGTTTGCATTTTCATTTTCTTCTTTAACACCGCTCATCCTTTTACTTAATTAAAATGAAAAAGAAAAAGACATTTGAGATTTATTTTTCGAAATGTACCCCCGCAAATACATACCAAAATTCAATTTGAAATGTAAAATTTAAAAATAAAAAAGCATTTCCAGAAATGCTTTTTCATTTTAAGAATGTGGCTGCATTATTTGGCTTATAAATTAAATTAGTAATCAATCGTCATATTTGCATTTAAATTTTCTTCTTCAAGACTGCTCATCCTTTTACTTAATTAAAAGGAAAAAGAAAAAAATCATTTGAGATTTATTTTTCAAAATGTACTTGAAATATATTTGAAATGTAACATTTGAAAATGAAAAAGCATTTCTGGAAATGCTTTTTCATTTTCAAATTTTCAAAATTTACATTTCAAATATAATTTTGGTTTGCATTTGCTGGGGTACATTTTGAAAATAAATCTCAAATGTCTTTTTCTTTTTCATTTTAATTAAGTAAAAGGATGAGCGGTGTTAAAGAGGAAAATGAAAATGTAAACAGGATTATTGATTGATAATTTCATTTATGAGTCAAACATTGCAGCCACATTCTTAAAATGAAAAAGCATTTCTGAAAATGCTTTTTCATTTTAAATATGGTAACGATTTGCTTCCATACTATAGACAAGACTTTTTAAAAGGCAGAACATAATAAAAAGTAATTTCTGTTATGTAGACATTATTATTAAGAATAGCAGAAGTAGTATTTTAATATATTTCTTACAAATAATATTATCCCAATATTATCATCAAAATATCGTTATTTATAAACTCAGCTATTTACGGAAGAGGATTAGGGCCAATGGAAAAAAAAAAAAGTTTACTGATTTTTAAATATGATTTTATTATATATTATTTATTTATTTTAATATGGGAAAAAGTTAGGATTCTGACTTTAATCTCAGAATTTTGGAAGTTAATGTAGATGGGCACCATGAAGGAAGAGATGTGGGAGCACTCAGCTTCACTGACAAAGATGTAAGTTGTTTGGGAGGGCCAGTGACGCATTGGTGGAAAATTGTGGAATTAGGTGACTTTTTACATGCCAGAGGGGTCCCCGGTGATGCTGTTTTAGTAATGGAAAAGCAGAAGGTGATCAAAACAAGAGAGCTAGTCTGGCTACTGCTCGTACTAACATTTTTGTTAGCTGTCAGAATTCAGCCAAAATTCTGAGAAAAAAGTCAGAATTCTGGGGTTAAAGTAAGAGTTCTGAGATTAAAGTCAGCATTCTGGGAAAAAATGCAGACTTCTCAGAAAAAAAAATGCAGACTTCTGAGATTAAGGTAAGAGTTCTGAGATTAAAGTCAGCGTTCTGAGAAAAAAGGATGACTTCTGAGAAAAAAGTCAGCGTTCTGAGATTAAAGTCAGAATTCTGGGATTAAAGTCAGAATTCTGAGGTTAAAGTCAGAATTCTGAGATTAGAGTCAGAATTCTGAGATTAAAGGCAGACTTCTGAAAAAAAGTCAGAATTCTGGGATTAAAGTCAGAATTCTGGGATTAAAGTCAGAATTCTGAGGAAAAAAAATCAGAATTAAGAGGTTAAACTTTTTTCTCATATTATACTGAAAAAAAACAACAACTAAAAATCAGTTAACTTTTTATATTTTTTCCTGGCCCTAATCCTCTCCCGTAGCTATTAGGAGCATAGATATCCATAATAAAGGCCTTTATTATGGATATCTATGTTTAGGAGTATGTGTTAAGCCCCGCCCCCATTCCACTTCCGCATTTTAATCCAAGAGGATTCATATTTAACCAGTTGAACATGTGTATTTGTATGTTTTTAGGCATCAGTTACCCACAAAAACGGACAGTTTTATTTTCGTGCAGGTGAGTGTGTAAAAATATAAGCAGGTGACTTGGTTTTATTTCGCTGCTGACGTTGAAAATTCAGACAACAGAGAACCAGAACTGTGAATCTTTATTGTTCTGTTGATGATAAATGAAACCTTTGTGATCGTGACTGTGGTGGCAGCAGGTGTAAATAAGGTGTCCAAAAAAACAAGAACCACAGATTCAGGAAACGCTTTGCCGCAAATGGGGAAGTGACGACGTGTACGACGTGATAATTTACGTTTCTGTGTTGTAAAACTAAAAAAAGACAAGTTTGTTTGAAAGTGGACCTAGCAGTTGGGGGACAAAGTCAGCTGAACACGGTTTGAACTAACATTGGTTAATCCACTGTTTGTATGCCTATTCGATCTGTGCTGGGTTTGATTAATCTTACGTCTCTATTTATTTGAATATGAAATCAGAAGGCTAGCAGATGTAGCCCTGATCATTTCCCTCATCTCTCCCTTCAAATCTTCACTACCTCCAGCTTTTCCTCCTGCCACACAAAATATATATTTCATTTGTTGTTTTCCAAACTTGAAGGACATATTTCCCCTTTTATAAATGTCCTACAAAACAACAAACATTTATAAACGTGCAACACAATTTAGATTTTTTTCCTTGTATATATTACTATTTCTTTGTATTTAACACTGTTTTCAAGGCTGCACTTTTAAATATGAAATTGTCTAGAGCTGTTCTAAACGAAATTTCTTTTTGTTTACACTCTTGTATACAAAACGACAAAATAAATCTAAGTTTTATTTTATTTACAAGCAGAAATATGTTGCAAAAATGGCACAAACATGTATTTTTGATAGCCTTGCTCCATTGTTTAAATTTAATGGTTCCACTTTTATTAACAACAAAAAAATGAATAACTCTAACTTTAACATCTAATATAGAATCAATCATTTCTTAGGCCTTAATGATACAAAAAAAATCTTTCACCCTCACAGTAGACTGCTATACATCCTTCATCAGTTTATCAGTGTATGAATTCTTACTAACTTATATTGCTAACCATAAATAGTCAGGTTCTTTAGAATATCAATAGGTGAATCCTACTCATGTTTAAAGTTCGTATTATCAGAACTGATATGAGGTAGCCTCCGACACTTGTTCCACTTCCTCCTCTTCAGTTTTTACTGCAAATTCTTGACCTTTTTCTTGGCACTGAACTTCTCTTTTAAGTAGTTTTATAAGGAAGCAAAGCTCAGATGTCTGAGTGACTCATATTTTCCAGTTGGGGGTTATTAGCACTACATCACAGCTGACCTGTTTTTATTCACCTTGAAATTAGATTTTGGCCAAATGTCCCCTAAATTTAACGAAGGACGATTCAAGTCACACAGCAGGTTTTCCCCAAAAACAAAAGAGAGTGATCTCTTATTGAAAAATATCTATTTATTTGTCTTTTTAATTGAAGTTTATCTCTTTTATAAAGAGTCTTGTAAATTGTACTGTTTGTACTGCAGTGCCTTGTGGAATTCTACACAGACGAGATGAATGTAAAGAAGGTGGTGAAGACGGTGCTTAGTGTGGAACAAGCAGAGGGAGTGGGTGCTCGGGTCCGTAGGAGCATCGGTAGGAAAGAAGTAAGCTCCTCAAGCAAAATACACTAACTCCCTGAGACCTTTGAATAAGTAAACACATAAGATATGAGAATACTTGTTATTAGTCCTTGTGCATTTTCCTTTTCAGCTGAGGAACTTGGACCCTTTCCTGATGTTGGATGAGTTCAAAGTGAGCAAGCCTGCAGGTTTTCCAGACCATCCTCACAGAGGATTTGAGACGGTAAGTGAACAGAACACAATCAAAAGGTTTATAAAACTTTTACCATCTGGGATTTTTGTAATTTGGTTATTTAAATGTAATCGAGTTGATCTACCGTAATTTCACGACTATAAGGCGCACATAAACGTCTTTTTTTTCCCTCAAAATGTGCGGTGCGCCCTTTGGTGCGGTGCGCCCTATGTGTGTTGCAACTGCGACTTTTGAGACCACCTCATTGAGGAGATGATGAAAGAGTGGCTGAATGTAAGGAGACCAGGTGTTTTTTTCCCACTCATCACTATCGCTGTTAATATGTAACTCCATGCGTGCCCATCTCACAGCTGATGTGAAAAACATGGTGAAACAAATTAATGCTGTGCTCGCTGTTCAACCGCTCGACATCGCTGTGAACCGGACCCAGCAGGTGCAGCAGAAGCAGCGAGTTTACATGCAAAGTCAACGGTTGACGAGCGTACAGGCGCAGCAAAAGGTCCCGCAGCGCGTTTTGAGCAGCAGGCGCAGCACTTCGGGAGCGCGCCGCCAACGCGCTGCTGCTGCTCGAGATGGAAAAATTGAAGTTTTGCTGCTGGACGCGCCGCATCAACGAATCAGAGAAGCTGATCTGGGAGCTGACAGCGAGACAGACACAGCGCTCTGATGACATATTAAGGCAAATGGAAAGGGCTGGATGGATGAGGAGATGATGAAAGCTTGGCTGAGGCAGGTATGTGAGGAGAACAGGTGTTTTTTTCCACGCATCACCATCGTGAAAAACATGGTGAAAAAAAATAAACGCTGTGCTCGCCGTTATCTCGGGGGTCCAGCGGTGCATCGACAGCAGAAATCCCTTCATCAGCAGCCTCTAGGCTGGGTAGCCTCCGGGTTCATGCAGTGGCTGGCAGGTGTTTTTCATCTAAATAATTTAAACTGCAGGCACCAGGATACCGGTAATAAAAGCGAACATATTCCGTCGGCAGGTTTCAGGATTTTACGTTAATTTAGGAGCGATCACAGCGCTGTGTCATCTGCGATGTGTCTGACTCACGGCCAGCTCCCAGGTTTGATTAATACTTTGTAATAAATACATGAATAAAGCACAATCATACTCAGTTTTGGGCCCGCTGTATTTTTAAATATGCAGTAGAGGTATTTAAAGGTAGTAGAGGACATGTACCTGTATATAAAAAACGCGCCCTATAGTCCGGTGCGCCTTATGTGTGTGTTAAATACAGAAATGGGACACATAACTGAGAGTGCGCCTTTTAGTACGGTGCGCCTTATGCTCGTGAAAATACGGTAGTTAATACAATATCTTATTGTGTCAGGGCCGTTGCGGGGCCGATGTCTATCTCAGGCAGTCTATGGGCGAGAGGGGGGGTCCACCCTGGACAAATCGCTAGTCTGTTGCATTATCATTGATAATAATAATTGTAAATAATAACAGCATTCACTATTTCCCGTATCGTTAAGGAGAATATATTATCTTTAAAAAAGATAATAATAATTTACTGGATAATTCTTAAATGCCAAGCCTATCTGTTCAGTCTTTATAAAACCATTAGTCCATCCCAGTTTACAATATAACTACAGACTTTTTCAACAGGTGCTTTCTTCCTTACATTTAGACAAAAAAAAAATCACATTAAATTTATTTTAATTCACTTAGTTTACATTTTGCTGCAAAGAATTTTCTAACAGCATATTTTGGGTTACAGTGTATGCATATGTGTGCTTCCTTTTTTTAAATCTTAATGTTAACTTGAGGTGAGCGGCAGACGGTGAGATTTTTATTTTAACACTAGATGGCGACCATCTGCAACAGTATGCTGTCCTGTTTCCTCAGTGTTACTCAAGAAAAATAATAATTGATTGTTACAGAGCTGTTAGATAGGTTCTGGCCTTCTGAACTGTCCATAACCCTAATGGAAGTCATCATAGTACTGAATCAAATGCTTCAATATGTCAGCTGTGAATAGAGGAGTTGTTCTACTAACAAGCTTTCAGAACACATAAAATTTAATTCTTTGCCTTCAGTCCTCTTTTCACATTTTATAACTAATGGCTGCATCTTTGAATTAAATCTACAAACCCAAACAATGTCATTAGGATCCCAGACAGCCCCCTTAGTGTTCTTGATTTAGCAGATATAAGCTCTGTCTCCCTGTGTGCATGAACAGGGTTGGGCTTCACTCTCAGCATCCCTTTCTGAAAGCATGCTTGCTGACCCCCACACAGCTTTTGAAATCACACAGCTGTGGAGATGGATAACACAGGGTTCACCTCAGGGGTTTGAACTGTCCTCCCTCACACAGATGTTCACCTTTGGGCCCACAACATTTCAGCATTTCTCTTCCCTGCATATCAGAGCACTGCAGAGGAATTGAATGAATACAGGTATTAGTGCTGACAAAGCACTTTTTGTAGTGGAACAATTCCCAGAAGTAATTAAAATCTGCAGCAAATGTATCCCAGTTTTATATTTCATTTTTACAGAAGATGGGCACAGTTTTGAGAGGTGCATTGTCCTTCAGTGATCATATACCAAGTTTTTTTAATAATAGATTTTTGTAAATAACCTTGTTGGATCTAAATTTTATTTGTGTCAACCCCAAATGTATTTTGTTTCTTAGATTCAAAAGAAAACCAAGAAAACAAATGGGAGCAGAGTTTAAAGCAGGTTATTCATAACAAATGCCCAAAGATCCATTTTAAAATTATTTCTTACTTAAGTTGCCTATTATGTTATGTTCAGCACTTTTTCCTTTTTTAAGTTTAGGAACATTTTATTTTCAAATGTTTGACAATTCAAAGTTAGGTGGCTTACTTAACCAAGAGAAAAAAGTAAATATTGTACCATGGAAACAGTACAACAGATTTAAAAATGCCAGTTTGGCTAATTCTGGTCCATTTATGGAAAAGCTAATTAACCTGAATCATCCTTGTCAAGTTAAAGGCAGGAAAGATGATGCTGTGGTGGCAGATATGTCCAACTAGCCAAACAGCGTGTCAGTTAAGCTTGGAGTCTACATAAATAACTTACTGGGGGGGGGCATAGGTGCAAGAATGCCAGTCATCAATTAAGTCATTTCAGATGAATCTGGACACTTAATTTCTTTTTTTCCTTCTTTTTATGTTATTTGTAACCGTGTCCTATCTGGCAATGTGGCAATAAGAATAATTGTCTTGATGCCAAAAAGAGCCCAACAGATTTTACTTTCACAAGTGGAGCAGTACAGCTATCGCCATAGTGTTCCGCTAGATTTATGCATATAAATAGCTTTATTTTAATTATGCAGGAAGTTTTACAGATTATATGGACACTGCAATGTAAGTAGAACAGGAAAGGAAAAACAGAAAAAAAGGAGAAAAGATGAAAGAAAGAGGAGATAAAAGGGAGGTAACAATAAAACATCTTCAGTCTGCCTCATAACCTGCAAAGAGATGTTAAAAGGACGGCACAACCAACGGACATGGGATCCGAGTTCAGACGGACTGAACAGGCCCCAGGGGCACCCCAAGCCCTGGCGGGAGCCCCGGCCGAAATTTTTATTAATTCATGTGTATGTGTGTGTGTCGTTTTCTGTAATCAGACACAGTATTATTTTCTGTTTTCACAGTGTGTCTTTTTTGTTTTTGTTTTTTCAGGTCACTTATGTTTTAGAGGGAATCACAGCCCACGAGGACTTCTGCGGTCATTCTGGACGTCTGAAACCTGGAGATTTACAAGTACTAAATTGATCTGGAAGCCTGACAACAATGAGACAAATATGATCCATGATAAACTTGTAAATATAATGCTGCAGCTTGTTCAAGGCAACAAAAAGACGCTTAAAACAAAAAATGTGTTTTCTCTGTCTGCCAAAACTAGCTAGTAAGCTTTGTTTTAAAACAGTTTTTTGCCATCAGTAGATTTTTCCGTATCTTCCATGTTAGATACAGTTTCTTTCCCTGATATCATTGTGAATGAAGCTAACTGAGCAGAAAAGCTAATGTTGCATATAAAGGGCCTTAATATCAACACATACGCTTTATAAACATGCAAAAATCACAGTAATTAGATATTATGCCCTCAAGACTGTTTTTAAAGCGGTGAGATTAACACGACTGGGCAAGTTTATTTATAGAGCACATTTCAGTAATAAGACAGTTCCAAGAAAGTGCTATACATGAAAATAATTATTAAGAATAATATACTGCAATGAAACGATTAAATAATTAATAAACATGACAGATTCAAGAGATTAAAAATTATTTTTTAAAACAAGATTGGAAAAAATTGTGATAAAATGATTGATAAGAAAAAATAAAAGGAAAGTTGGAGTGCAAACCTAGATGATGATGTTGAGATGTTAAAGTCAAAGATGTTAAAGTCAAAGTTTTTTTATATCTTGATTTAAAGCAACTTTAGATTTTTTGCAGTTTAACTGACATGCTGTTGGGGTCTCTCAAAATATGGGTAGAGAAAGAAGAATACACCCTCTGCTGTTAATGCATCTGCTCACTCAGCTTCAATTTGTTCAGTCTGTCCGACTGCTTTGAAACAAATCGTGATGCTCTGTGAGCGATTCTGTTGCAAGACAATAGAATTTACATAGACTCCTGGATAGTTGTGTAAATGTGCTCAAAAACCAAGCGAAAGTCTGGTAGCCTTCTAATTTAAGCCAGTTGTTGGTTGCCATGACCCAGATGACTGAAAATTTACACAGGCAAGATAAAGAATCTGATCAATGATTTGAAATATTCTTATAACAAAGCATATTTACATTAGCCATTCAGAGAGAATTTGTTTCCTTAAAATAAAAAAACCTATGCAGCCAATGTGTCTTTTCAAACTGTATTTCTGCTTTTAATTGGTGTTTCATTGCATATGATTAGCTCACTTTTTTAATAGACACTAAATATTAATGTAGTGTCAATCAATAGTAATTGGCTAATATTCTTAAAATTGTGATCACCATCTTTTGTTACCAATCAACTGGTGTGCAGCGTTTCTCCCTCTTTCCTTCTCATTGTGCAGTGCAGCAGCAAATCCTAAGTGGTTGAATTTGTAAATCTTATGTTTGAGATTAATGTGAAGTTTGAGTCTATTAATGGAAAAATTCCCTGGAGGTGAAGCGCATCAAACTGGGTCAATAAAGCAAATACAATGTGACATCTAAAAACAAGCACTTGATGGAGTGTGATGAGATATCGAGGCACGAATGAAGCAGTGCACAATTACACTCCTCCATGAACACGATGTTTAGAAAGAAAAAATAAGCCCAAAAATTATTTAATAATCGGGTAAAGGTTCAATTCAGTTTAAATCAGTTTATTTGTATAGCACCAAGTCACATTCACATGTCATCTCAAGGGCATTTTAAATTTCAACCAGATCATAAAGTCAGATTGATTCAAAGTTTTCTATATAAGGAAAACCAGTTGATTAGGTCCAGCAGTGAAAGATGGATGGAGATCGATGAAGGATTTTCATTCGTCCAGGTCATAGTCATTCCGTAAAAGTTTAAAAAACAATCCACCGGACTTGGTTTCCAAAGGTTTGAAGACATTTCGCTTCCCCTCCAGGAAGCTTTCTCAACAGACATTTGAATTGAGAAAGCTTCCTGGAGGGGAAGCGAAACGTCTTCAAACCTTTGGAAACCAAGTCCAGTGGATTGTTTTTTAAACTTTTACGGAAATTTGAATAAATACTTTCTGCAGTGTGCAAGTTTTTTTGTGTGTTTTTTTTTTTGTCTAAATTTGGTCATTTTATGATTCAGTTTAGCCAGATAACAGTTGTTACATTTATACCTAAATCAAAAAACAGCCAATCCATGTGATGGATAGTTATCATTATCGGCTGCGATCAGCCCTCTGGGTGATCGCTATAGGGATTGCCGTCAAAAATCCTCATCGGAGTATCCCTACTACATACTAACAGATGAAAATAGGATTAAAAGTGTAAAGGAAGAAAAATAAAAGCTTGAGCTGGTTTCCTCTATGCTTTCCTCTTGTTATTACCTTTAAACTTGAGAACAGCTTCATAATAAGCTTGATATCACAGCTGTAACTTTATAGATATCCTTAAGAGGGAATGTATGCGTCTCTTCTTTTTTAACTGAAATGATGATTGTGTCATTGTCTGCCAGTGGATGACAGCGGGCCAGGGGGTGGTCCATGCTGAGATGCCTGTGTCAGAGGAGCCAGTGGTGGGACTGCAGCTGTGGGTAAACCTCCGAAAACAAGAGAAGATGGTTAAACCAGCATACCAGGAGCTTAAAAGCTCAGAGATCCCCAAACCCAGCCAGGGTGGAGTTACAGTCGCTGTGATTTCTGGAGAAGCCTTGGGAGCTAAGGTGTGTGCTTCTTTGTGTGAGAATCTTTATACACATGTTCATCATCAGAAAGATCAGAATGCTGCATCAGCAATTTGAATTCTCTTTAGCTTTATTGTACTTATGCTCCTGGATAGGACCTTTTATTTACCATGTTGACTGCATTGTCTGGAAGGCATGTTTGGGAATAGAAAGCTAGAAATGAGAAACAGATTATTTTTGCATGCTGGATGATGACTGTCATTTTGTGGCATTTCCACATAGTTGATTTCTTAGATGTGTGAACATCAGTGGATTCTGAGGAGAAGTCTGCTTTAGAAAATTCAACTAATGACAAACTAGGCCAATTAAATAACTGAGAGTGAGGGTATAATAGTTATGTTTTGAATTATGTGGCCATAAATTGACCTCAAGACTAAAGGAATCAACACACTGGCTCAGTTTGCCTAGTAATTTATTTTCTTGTGACAAAGAGGATTTTGTGTCATTTTACTAAAACATTCTAGGAGAAAGTCTTAAAGTGCAATAAATATTTCCTTATACTCAAGGTAAATTTAAATTAATCAATTTGGTAAAGACTCTTTAGCCGAAGCAGAGGTGTGTCAGCAGACGGCATGATAAATGCTGTGTGATAAGTGCTGGCAACTCCTTCCTTACTTAGCGGTTCTAAGGAGCTATTTGCAATCCCACAATCCTTTGTGGGACATGATATATAACCACAGCCCACCTTATGGAAATAACTAAAAATACATTCTACGAGTTGTGTAATGGAGAGCTAAAGCTAATCATTCCATTAATATAATATTTATATATATATTTTGAAGCACTGTAGTTTGAGACTTGACTGACACTGTCCCTGAGTGTTTTTGTTGCGTAATGACATCAAGAAGGCTAGAAGCTGTCCAGATTTGGCACAGCAATCTCCCTGTCCCATCAGGATAAAGTTCAAGTTCTTACAGCTGATCCGAGGACGGATGAAGGAATGGGAGTTATAAGCTACTATCTGATAAATTCAGGTGCAGCTTTTTAGTGCTTCAAATCCTGTTCTTGGTTTTTCTTATGTCATGTTGAATTCGTAGAGAAGATTTTTCACTTTTGGAAAGCTTCTCTGCTAATCTGTTTCAAATTTCTTTTTTCCTTTTTTTTGTTTACTTTTGTTAATTTTTCTCTACTGTTTGTGGTTTGCTTGAAACTCAACCCTTATTAGAAATGTCTTTGTAACATTCTCCAGGCTTATCAATGTCTTTGAGTTTCACCTGTTCTTAATTTTTTCTCTATGGGGAATGATTCAATTCCATTCAACTCAATTACATTTAATTTGAGATACTTTAACCAGATCATGCAGTTAGATTGGTTCAAAGTTTTCTATTTAAGTAAAACTAGCTGATTGTATTGAGTCACTGACATGACTGCAACCCCTCACACTGAGATTGCATATAGCGACAGTGGAGAGGAAAAACTCCCTTTTACATGAACAATCTGCTGCTTAGTAAGAGCTTTTAGCTTACTTCATGTTGTTAGACATATTTTTGTTACTTTCTTCATATTGTTATGGGTTAAGGTAAAAACAAGATTAAAACATTTTGTGATTTTAAAATGGAGTAACAATTTTACAGAATTTGTCAGTTTGGTCCTGCTAGTTTTCTCATTGGTTTTTAGCAACTCCCTTTAAATATTAAAGGAAATAAAAGCTTTTCCATTGCGCTGTACATCAATATTCAGTTTTGTTTATATGCTGACATCCGACTGAGTAAAAAAAAAAAAAAACGGTAATTAAACAGTCTCTTTAAGTATTTCTTTCTGATTTTAGTCTGAATGTCATTAAACTGTCTTTATAAACAAAAAATTCTATATATTTATGTGTAGTCAGGCAAATTGGAATAGTATCTTATTTTAGTGTAAAAATGTATTTTAAAAAGAATAAAAAAAAAACCTTTGAATAATGGTATTAACCCATTACATAATGCACATGCCTTTTGCTTTCTTGGTTTTCCCTACTATCAGGAAAAAAACATTTATTTATAACATTACTTAAATTACCAGGGTTTTATCGGGCTGCTATAAATGATAAACATGAAGGTTGAAGATACAATTCCAGGTAGATCTATTATAATAATAAAAAATACCAAATAAGGAATGTGTATCTTTAAGTTGAAGTTCATTCTGTACCTTTTTTTTTTTTTCTCCTTTAACAGTCGAAGGTCTACACAAGAACACCAACCTTGTACTTGGACTTCAAACTGCAAACTGGGGCCATACATGTGCAGCCAGTCCCATCTGGTAAGAGAATAGTGATAAAAGCACTCCTGTAAAACCCAGAGATGCATTGGATGTAACAAAATCACTGAAGCAAACCTACTTAAAAACATCAAACCGCTGCCTTGAAGCTGACAGGTCTTGTCCTTGTTTTCTCCTGTTGCTTCATATTATTGGAAATGTTTTGTTTCCTAATATCACTGCCGTAACACAATTTACATCAGACTGTAGTGATTATTTTGATAGAAAAAATACCTTTAATTTATTTTTGAGAATTGAAGATTTAGGCAATAGAACCAGAGAAGTTTGGTGCTTTTTATAAAATTATAAAATGTTGTATTTTTAAACTTGAAACGACATTTCATTGTTTGGCAGGATGGACTTCTTTCATTTATACCCTCTCTGGAACTATTCATGTTGGTGAGTTTTTCAGCATTCTTAACTCACAGCTGTGCTCTATATATGCAACTCCATTTCAAAATATATTTCTATTAGAAGATTTTAGGTATTTTTGACAAGTAAGGACATGTCTGATAATGTAGGTGGTACCGACAAACTTCTGTTATATAATTTCACTGCTTGACCTGGTGAAGAAATTCTTGGTCCTTCTCACTGGCCAGACATGGTAGATTCAGGAAACTCACTTTGCATGAGAACAAACCATTTCTGACACCAGAGCCAGGCTTTACTGGTTTGTTTGAACCAATTTTAATATTCTCTCAAAACATCTTGTTATGTTTGATTACCGTCCTTTGTTGTACTGAAGAATTACTTGACTAAATGCGATCAAAACCAGATGTTTTAATGACATGAGAGGATAAGAGGGGATGCCGAGACTAAAGAAGTCTCTAACTCTGCATGTAGTCTGGCCTAAATCAGAACCATCTGTCCTTGATGAATATATCCAAGAAAGTTGCTATTGTCCATCTCTTCTAACAGTCAGTCTCAATGTGTTACCATTTTCATTGTACTGTCTTTGGTTTTAAAGTTATTCATATTTATTACTACTAACTAAGATTTTACAATAAATCAGGCAAGGATTTTAACTCTAATGGTCCAATAAGTGAACATGGGCCTCCTATACAACAGTATGCAGATTGCATACTAAAAGTTTGTGGTAGAGGGTAATACTGAAAATTTGCAACACAGACAAAATTTCAGATGTAAGAGTCTGTGCGTACATGTTTCATTGCACGCGTTACCTTCAAACATATGCCAATCAGTATAAACACCCAGAAGGGAGCCACCAGCTGTCCAAATAACAATCGCCACATTGCTGTCAGGCAGTCTTAGAGAAACATTGTCAACGCACCTTGGGGATATTTGTAACAGAGAACCGACAGTAAACATAAAGCAGCTGAAAATAAAATATGTCAGCGTTTTTGTTTTGCTTTGTTTGTATCAGGTCTAAAAGGAGCTGTCTGTCTGCTGCATCGAGCTCCATTATTCTAATATATACCAAGTCTTTTTGATTCACAAGAATGTGCACCTCATAGTCCTATTAGCAACCTATCACCCAGCACACAGCCTGCTTTGTGTGTTCAGTGAAATTTTTGTGCATCACAACAGCAATATATAAATGTCAAATCATTCGGCTTTAACATGTATATAAATGTACTCTTTATCAGACCATATTGTCCCAAAAGTTAGAAAATCTCTATTTAAAAAAAAATCCTGTCTTAAAATCTGTTTTTTTATTTTATGCAGGCCAGTTAGTTATATGTCAGCTTGTTCACCTAAATTTGGCCAATCATATATCAACGGTCATCTGTCAATTAAATTTTTCCAGTCATAGCTTCTTGATTCATATGTTGCAGCTAATATATGCAACAGTTGAAATAAGAAATAAGAATTATTTATTCTTTATGACTTTACCATTGAGTTACGTCCCAGTGGTCACGGCGATGGGCGTCTGTGCTAACAGACAGCTAACAGAACTGGCAGCGTTGTGAGGCAAGGGCTCAAACATGTACGGCTGTAAGCCTTCTACACCAAACCAAGCTTCTGCCGCCCTGGCGTCCTCTTCCACAACAACTTCGTCCCCGATTTCGTCCTTTAAATAAAAATGTATGACGGAGGAGACTCACCCATGACCTCCAACACAAAACTCTCCTTCTCTTGCATGTTTCCGCTGTCCATAGCGTTCCTTGACAATGTCTTTTCTAAGTGCTACTTGGTCCCAATGTAATTTCCCATTGGGAACCTACTAGCACTAAGTTGCTAACTGGTTAGCAAGATGCTTCTGACAAACCGGCCACAATCAACCTTGCTTGCGAATCTTCCGCCACAACAATCCTGCCCCCTTGATAAACGAACAATCACATTCACTTTATTCACTCGTGTGAAGTCGAGCACCACTTGGTAGAATTCGGAAATGCAACCGTTTTAACAGCAGCTTCCCTACGACTTTAAAGAAAATGATCTCTTCATAAAGGAGGATTCATTCACAGATGGTGCCCTTATGAGGACAGTTATAGCTCTGATTACCCTTGGAAATTGGCTTTTCAATTCAATTTGCAATTTTTTTTATATACAGTTGGTATTAAATCATAAACTACATTATATTATATATCTAAGCAACATATGGGTGAGGTCATCACATTTGGCTGGCATGGAATGATATACCAGACTTATTAATCAGCTCCAAAAATTCATTTTCTGAGAGTGAATTTGTGAGAAACTGAACCACTACTAGTGATGGCCGGTTCCTCCCACTACCCTTTTGTGATGCAGGTCAATCTAAATCAGCAAATAAGCCACTTGTTATTATGACCCAGCACATTAGCAAAGGCTGGTTCTCCATAACAATCCTCGCTTTCCTTCGATATTGGGAGCCACTGGGGACTGATTATCGGGGAGATTGGTGTTTGGTTTCTTCATAGTGAGGAGATATTTTCTGTAGAACAGCTCCTCTGATTGCAAATCTCTCTTATATTACAAAGCTAAGGCAACTAAAATGCTCTGGAGTCTACTTGAAACTAAGTAATTTCACACAATTTGTTGAATCTGTGCCGGGAAAGGTAGTTTACTCAGCTAAAGGTGTCAAACAATAGTAGAATAGTGGACAAAACAAATGGCAGGTTACGTGTGTATTGAGTGGTAAAGGTTCTCGTTAGAGAGAAAATGAAATATGAAATGCATTTGTGTTTTAATATCCATTTTCTTTGCTTTTTCAGGCCCAGGGGAGGATCTGCAGCAGGTGGAGCCCCATCACACCGTGGTTTTTGGAGATGGTGATTGTGTCAGGTTTGAAAACAAGGTATAAAAGTTAAAAGATTAAACACTTTGTCCACCTACAGACATAGTCGAAAGGACTTGTCAAAAATTGTAATTTTTTCAGAAAAAGTGTGTTATGGGCTACAGGTTTTTTTTTAGGTGTCATTTAGAATCAGGACAAACAGTTGCAGAAAGTGTTTCCCTTTGTCTTTATTGTGTATTTGTCCCACTGATGTACTACTGCATCAGGGTTAAGGTTATTGCTGTCATGATGCAGGGTTAAGTTCCCCTTCTGTTTAACTTGAAGAGGTCTTTTTGGATTCTATGATGGTGACCTGAACCGGTAAGGCTGTGGCAAAGTGTTCCCACACCATGATGCTTCCACCTCCGTGCTTTTACTTTATTATGAGGTCCTTTCCTGGAAGGCTGTATTTGGTTTACACAATATATCTTTCATTATTCTGCTAAACTATTTTATTTTAGACTCATCTTTCCAAAGAACATAAATCCAAGAGTGCACATCTGTTGGCTTTTTGTTTTTGTGGTGCACTTTACTTTGACCTTGATGTGTTTCATAGAGTTACTTTCTTACAAAAATTGTCAAACCTAAAAGTTACACTTGGAAGGTCACAGATTGTATATACAAAAATCGGGTATACAAAAAAGATTAGATATTTTTCTTATCTATCTACAGGGTTCTGAGATTTCTCATTTTGTGCTGATTGCTGGAGAGCCGATCAACGAGCCTGTGGTACAACAAGGTATATTATATTCCTTTACTTTCTAGTAAACAAATATGTGGCTCTGTGCTTTTAAGAAATTATGACAAAAGCTTTAAGCTTTTGTATATTAATGTATGTTGTCTGGCCTTCATATGAGGTGCCCCCAGGGACATAAATCAGAATTAACTTGCATATACACATATTAAATTACACTCTTCCATATAATATACTGAAAACCTCACACAAACACTAGTAAAAGCTCTCACATAAACTAGTGAAAACATTTACCTCTTATATAATCTACTCAAAAGCTCTCATACAAAGTAGTGAGAACTGTTCATATAAACTGGTGAAAAGCTTTACCTTTCATACACACTACTAGAAAGCTTTCATATACACTATTAAAAAGCTCTCATATACACTACTAGAACGCTCTCATATATACTACTAGAACGCTCTCATATACACTATTAGAAAGCTCTCATATACACTATTAGAAAGCTCTCATATACACTACTAGAACGCTCTCATATATATTACTAGAACGCTCTCATATACACTATTAGAAAGCTCTCCTATACACTATTAGAAAGCTCTCATATACACTACTAGAAAGCTCTCATATACACTATTAGAACGCTCTCATATACACTATTAGAACGCTCTCATATACACTATTAGAACGCTCTCATATACACTATTAGAAAGCTCTCATATACACTACTAGAACGCTCTCATATACACTATTAGAAAGCTCTCATATACACTACTAGAAAGCTCTCATATACACTACTAGAAAGCTCTCATATACACTATTAGAACGCTCTCATATACACTATTAGAAAGCTCTCATATACACTACTAGAATGCTCTCATATACACTATTAGAACGCTCTCATATACACTATTAGAACGCTCTCATATACACTATTAGAAAGCTCTCATATACACTACTAGAATGCTCTCATATACACTATTAGAACACTCTCATATACACTATTAGAAAGCTCTCATATACACTACTAGAATGCTCTCATATACACTATTAGAACGCTCTCATATACACTATTAGAACGCTCTCATATACACTATTAGAAAGCTCTCATATACACTACTAGAATGCTCTCATATACACTATTAGAACGCTCTCATACACGCTACTAGAAAGCTCTCAAACACACTACTGGAAAGCTTTCATACACACTATTAGAAAGCTAAAATATATGGTCCCCCTCCTTTAATTTAGGCAAACATTGCTCAAATATCACCGAATCCAGATGGTTTGTTGTTGATGAAGAGAGGAATAAACACAGTTTAAGATTTGCAGCTAAATTAATTTGTTTCCATATTATGGAACTGCTATCAGGCACTTCCCATCATCTTATATCAGTAATAAAAAATTATAAATAAAAATTTGGTATTTGGTGACTTGACTTTTATTTCTGTCAGGCTGAAGTGAAAAAACTTGGAAAGAGACTGATTCTCTTGGCGTTTAAAATAACAACACAAAACAGCATAAGAAAACCGCATTTATTTTTTTTATTTTACAATTTTGTAAACAACAGCGGCTGATTAAATTAAATGTCTCAACCTTGTATAATTTTACGACTTTTCATTTAACCAAGAAATGATCCGAAAGGCCTGGGAAATGATCAGATCCGCTTATGTGGCTGCAATGCGCGGCGCGCTCCCGACACAGGTGGAACAGATTTTCACATGGGAACAGAATTTCGCACAACATCGGAAAAGGATCTCTGTTGAAGCATAAACATAAAAAATAAAGTCGAGTAATGCCCATGCTTCTGTGAGTTGTTTAGCGGATAGCTGAGCATGAATCAATAATTTTATTTGATACAATTTCGGCCGGAGATAGCACAAAATGTACGGAGCTAGCCAGAATGACCTCCGTTTAAAACAACTTCCGGTGTAATGACGGTCCTTCCTGTTTCACTGAAACACCTTCCGTTTCAACTGAAATCCGCTAATAGCTTTTCAGTAGTGTGTATGAGAGCTTTCTAGTAGCGTGTATGAGAGCCTTCTAGTAGTGTATATGAGAGCTTTTTAGTAGCATGTATGAGAGCTTTCTAGTAGCGTGTATGAGAGCGTTTTAATAGTGTATATGAGAGCTTTCTAGTAGCATGTATGAGAGCTTTCTAGTAGCATGTATGAGAGTGTTCTAATAGTGTATATGAGAGCTTTCTAGTAGTGTATATGAGAGCTTTCTAATAGTGTATATGAGAGCGTTCTAATAGTGTATATGAGAGCATTCTAGTAGTGTACATGAGAGCTTTCTAATAGTGTATATGAGAGCGTTCTAATAGTGTATATGAGAGCTTTCTAGTAGTGTATATGAGAGCTTTCTAATAGTGTATATGAGAGCGTTCTAGTAGTGTATATGAGAGCGTTCTAGTAGTGTATATGAGAGCGTTCTAATAGTGTATATGAGAGCTTTTTAATAGTGTATATGAAAGCTTTCTAGTAGTGTGTATGAAAGGTAAAGCTTTTCATGAGTTTATATGAACAGTTCTCACTACTTTGTATGAGAGCTTTTGAGTAGATTATATAAGAGGTAAATGTTTTCACTAGTTTATGTGAGAGCTTTTTACTAGTGTTTGTGTGAGGTTTTCAGTATATTATATGGAAGAGTGTAATTTAATATGTGTATATGCAAGTTAATTCTGATTTATGTCCCTGGGGGCACCTCATACCTTCAGGTCCATTTGTGATGACCACTGAAGAGGAGATCAAACAGACTATCTTGGACTACCAGAATGGAAGAAATGGCTTTGAAAGAGCCAAAAACTGGAGGTCCAAAATCAGAGATTCTACCTAAGCAGAGCAACTTTATCTCAGGTTTCTATTTTGGTGCAACAAAAAAATGTTATTATGAATTAGAGCAAAAGGGGTAAACTTGAATCAGCAATATTTATAATTAATTTTCTCAGATATTTTACTTATGCTGTTTGAAGTAATAGAGCTATTTGAAAATATGCTAATGTTGACTTAATTGGGTAAAGATAACATAAGGTATGATTAATTTGTCTTTTTATATTTGTTGAAATAAGCTGTTGGGTTCTTGTTTTTATATTTTTCGTATATTATGACTTGCTCAATCCATCCTTTACTTTTCGATTTTCACGGCCTTAAGCCTTAAATCTTCAAATAATGTCACAATTATCTGTCCTGTTACTGTAGATAACATTATCGACATACATTGTTTCCTACTGCTGTGTTCGGATTCTTTTACAAAAAAAAAAAGGGTTTAGAATTTTGGTGGGAAAGTTTATTCAGCTAAATAACCAAACAAGACTATGGAGGAGTAATCTGTTCTCGAATCAGCACTTTATAAATGTAGTTTTTCAGATTTGTGGAAATATGATTTAAAGGAGAAGTCCGGTCAGCAAGGAATAATCAATAGATCATTATCTATACCTGAAACTAATATGTTCAGTCATTTAATGAATTTAGCATTACCGTAATCAGGAAAAACAAATTCTCCCCACTTTAAAAGCCAAATCAATGGGAACTACTAGACACATCTGCAATCAACAACAATTATTTAAGATTTCGAGAGAACTTCAAAATTTAAATTGGCAAGAGCTATAGTTAAACTGACAATGCCCACGTGCACAGCAGTTGGATGTTGTAATACATTGGGTAAAATTGAAAAAAAAAATTAGTTTCACCTTTCTGATTCATGATCCACGGGTTGGATTGCCAACTTTAAGAGGATTTGCCATCAAACCTCTAGCCAGAGAAAAAAAACACTTAATATGTAGCGAACATTTTAAGAATAGTTTTTTCAAGATGACTCAGTTAAAGGTGTGTTGTGAAATAACACCAGATAAAGCACTGGGGCTTGCTCAACAGCCGATACCATACCGTGACGACCGGTAGGTGGCAGTAGTGTTCTTTGACAAACATGAATGTCTCCAGTAAGGCACATTCAAATTAAAATTGCTCTTAAATAAAACACTTATCATTTTTTGAACAGTATGTCATAATTTCATATTTAAAGTACTTTCAGAATTTTGAATTCTGAATATGACCGGACGTTTCCTTTAAATGTGTTTAACATGATTGTGGAAAAGATGGCGTAAATTGAGCAAATGAAAAAGCACCAGTTCTGGTTGCGCTGCTAATTAAAGCATGCCTCACTGATGAAGGGCGCTTTAATAGCTGGTATTCTCTGGAAACATTGTGTAGTGTTTTTTTTTTATTAGTTTATTCTTACTGTTACCAAATAAACTGCAAAGGGAAATTTCCCTGCAGACACCTGTTTTTAGATATTTCACAGCATTGTGAAAAACACATTTTTAATAAACACTTTGTTTGCTCTCCATTATTTAAATGGCCATTACATGTTTACTACTACTCTATCTGTATACCACCTTCTCTTTAAGCAGATGTGTCTTAACTAATCCTTAAAAGTAAAAATACTTTATTAAATGTTTGAATTTGTTGCATCATCAATTTAGAACAAGCTATTGGTTTATATATATAGGCTTGGGGTTAGTGCTTTAAAATAAAATTTAAAATAAAGTTTTGACTCATTTTTTTGTCTAGATAAGTCTCACATTGAAAATTTTTTTGTGCATATTTGGTTTTTACAGGCCACTACAGTACACAGTTTGTGTGTTAATGATTTAATTTTGTGTATTTCTATGACGATAAATACTAAACATAATGGGTCTGGAAAGGTAAGTGGAAAGGATGTCTGGAAGACAGAGGATGTGGTGCTGGCATCTTATTCCACTCACGTTATGGAGGTCTGGATCACATTTAAAACACATGTTCCTCCTCCTAGGCTAAGAGAGTTTCAGTAAGCAGAGAGGAAATAACACTGGTAAGAGATTTGACTAGCACGTGATTTGTCCACTTGACAAGTGGATTTAAATGATAGAAACAGGTTTGGATGTTAAAGGTACAGTAGCTACAAGCTGATTCTGAAGGACCTGCAGCTCCTCAGACTTTTTAAAAACTAGGTTGAGTTTTTTTTTACAGACTATGGTTAACTGTTGTTTTCCCATAAAATTCTAAGTGGCCAAAGTAGCAAGCACTGAATTTGGGTAAGCTGTTATGCAAATGCAATAATGTATGTATGAAACTTAATTTAAGGAGTAGTATTTTCTCAGCTGTTAACAGGGTTATTATCTTACCCTACACCTCAGCCGTTGCATCAAAGCCTTACCAGGACGTTCCTGGTTTAAAGCCATCTCTCCATTTGGTTCATGGCTTATTAGGTTGCTGCAACAGGTTGCGTCTAGTTCACACACAGGCACACACCCTCTACTTGCAGCTGGGAAAGTTTTGTTTTGGCACAAATGTGTCCGGAGAGGATAGAGTGTGTGGTCTCAGTGCTCAGCTGGTCCAGCATTTGGAGAGACAGTGCAAACTCACAGAGCTTTCACAGCACTGCTCAGAGAAAAGCGGGAGAGTCCGCTCTGGATGATGGGGAAGATGCAATGGGGTCTGTACAGGATATTTTTCTTAGTGACTTTAATGTTGCAACTTGGATGGATAAACGTTGGTTACTGCTTGCACAGAGAGGGTGGCAGCAGGGTAAGTTCATTCATGAAATTTATTCAGTGTGCAAACAGGAAAGAGGCTTAGCCCCTTTGCAACTGACAGACAAAAGCTTTTTTGTTTTTTACAACGGCTGCAGTTTACTTTGAAAAATTACATACCAAAAGTTTTTCACACATCTTAAAGAATGTCTAATGTACATGAAAAGGGTCAAAGATTTGGTAAGATTATAATTTAGATGCCATTTGAAGTACTTGGAGTATGTTTTATTAGAAGATAAATTGCATACTTGACCACTTGCTGTCTGGCTAGAAAATTATATGATACATACGGTGATTATGGCTGACTTTAACAACAATGTAGTGTGATTTATGTTATTTTAGTCAGGCACTTGGCTTTTCTGAGGTATAATTTGGGAAAACATTTTCTTTCAGTTGTTTCTTTATACCTAGGCGATGAGTCTGCTGTACCATCTGTTATAGTTAACACTGATATTTAAAATCACAGTTAAGCCCGCACTGATAATCTGAACTAAATAGGAAAAACAGCTAACAAGTAATTCATAATCATGTGGAATTATAGAGGGTTGTAGAATTAGTCTGGGAATCTCTATTTTTTTATCTATTAAGTTTCCTTTTCGTGTGCATCAGATGTTTGGCCATTTAATATATAGACTAAATTTGACAAAAATATTTAAAAAAGATAATTTATTAGGAGACATAAGTTCAACATAATCAACTATAGATGACATTAAGCAGTGGGGGTTCTGGTTCTCTGTTTCCATTTTGTTCTGGTTTACGTCAGCAGGGGATCTCTGCCTTCCTGCAGTTGCATGACATGCAGTTTAATGGGTTTCTCACACCCTTGAAACTCAGCTTTTAAAGGCTGTTTAAAACAGAGCCAGAAAAAACATATAACACCCAGCTCAAAACATCATATACATTGCTATTTTGTACAACCGTTACAAGTGTCTCAGCACTTTAACATAAATAAATCCTAATAATTTTTTATCAAGCTTTTTGTGAAAATGCTTCTGCTTAGTGATTATTAGCAAGTGTTGGCAAGTCAACAACTACCGGTAGGTTGTTTTGTAGGGTTCATTGCCAAAACACTGCAATGCAGTTAGACATTTTAAATGGAAACTACATAACGTCAGTCTGGTTTATTTAAGTCTAAAATTATTTATTTTTCCTTCTAGCAGTAAATACATTAATGGATTGGTCATATCTTTATCTCATTTTGTACTTTTAATCTGAAATTTTATAGATGAGGTTAGCAGTGTTCAGATCTCTGACAAGTCCCTACCTTCGAAGATGTATATGAATTTTACTATTTGTTACTCTTTAAAAAAAAATTTCTATGTTTTGAACAGATGTTAAGAATACCGAAGTCACAGTCTGGCGCTGATAAATGTTTAGAGTTTAGTTGTAAAAAGTTTATTTTAGTCCATTAAGAAGGGATGTTTCTTTTTTACTGTCATTTATTTTTGTTTAAGTTACTGAAACAACTTTAATAACTGAAAAAATTATTGTTACAACAGATAATGAAGTTTTTTATCAGCTTACCAAATGCGATTAGTTTAGGTTTTGTGCATCTCTACAGCAGAAATCAATGTCAACCTAAATTACCTTTTCTCTGTATCCTGAAAATACTTGTAGAGCAGAAAACGGATCCTGTCTTACAACAGGATCATGGTCAACTTTTTTGTCTCAGAGGGGCAGATTCTTTGTAGCCAGCAAAGCACAAATTCAAAGAATTTGAATCAAAGAACAAATACTTCTTATGGACGTTACATCGACATAGTAGTCATATCTTCTTACCTTTTTTCATATGTCTTGGATATTGGAAGAGAGGGACAGAGCTATTCACCAATAACCACCTGGTGATGCCTGCATATGATAGAAAAAAGGAAGATGGAAAGATTCGGCAGGAGTAACTTAGATCTCTTAATGTTGTGAGGCTGTTCTCGCAGACATGCCTCTTGGGGCGACAGTGGCGTCGGATGCAGGAGTTTGCCCTGAAATCGAAGGATTGATGGTTCAAGCCCTGGCTCTGACTTTCAGTGTCGTGTCCTTGAGTAAGACACTTCACCAGCATTGTCTAATGATGGTGGTCAGAGGGCCCGGTGGCGCCAGTGTACGGCAGCCTTGCTTCTGTCAGTGAGCCCCAGAGCAGCTGTGGCTACAGCGTAGCTTGCCACCGTGAGTGTGTGGGTGAATGGGTGAATGACTGAATGTAGTGTGAGGCCTATGCTAAGGTGCTAGAGAGAAGAGTCCAGCTATTTGCAGAACCTCAGGAGGAGGAGCACTCTGTTTTTTGTCGTGGAACACTAGTCCAGCTACACTCTCTGTATGGTGCACAAGGGAGCTTGAGATTTTTCCTAACCAGTCCACAAGTGTTTGTGGTCCTGGGGAAGGCACTGACCATGTCCTTCGTGGTACCCTATATCTGGCGCTCCAGGAATAAGGAGTCAGGCGCCCTTTACAAGGGGCCATCTGGTCTCTGCACAAGTGGAGCAGGAGTTGGGTCTACATTTCTAGAATTAAGTCAGACCTGTCCCCGGTGCATGCTGGACTCCGACAGGCCTGCCCTCTGTCAACGGTTCTGTACATAACTTTTATGACAGGATTTTTTGGTGTAGCCAAAGGCCAAATGTGGTGAGTGGGGACCAACAGATGTCTTCCCAACTTTTTGAAGATGACAGGGTTTTGCTGGCTCCCTCCTGTTAAGACCTTTAGCATGTAGTTGGGCGGGTCACAGTCATGTGTGATGAGAAAAAGCTTCTATGGTTCTCATAGATCTTATCTAGAAAAAGATGGCTTTTGCCCTTCAAGTTGGAGGAGAGTGCCTGCCTTAAGTGCAGGATTTCAAATATATTGGGGTCCTCTTCATGAGACGGGAGAATGGAGCAGGGGATCAATAGATGGATTGGTGTAGCTGCTGCTATAATGCAACCAGTTGGTCTACATTCCTACTCTCACCTATAGTCATGAAATCTGGATCATGACCAAAGAAGCGAGAGCCCAGATACAAGCGACTGAAATGAGCTTTCTCCTCCGGGTGGCTGGCCACTGCCTTAGAGGTCACAGATCTTGGTCATCCAGGAGAACTTCGTGGTAGAGCCCCTTCTCCGCTTTTAGATAAGTAAGCTGAGATGGCTTGGACATCTTTTTTGAATCCCCCCTGAAATCTTCCATTGAGAGGTGTTTCAGGCATGTCCCATTAGGAGGAGGACATATTGAAGGGACTATGTCTCTCAGCTGGCCTGGGAATGGCTAGGGCTTCCACAAGCAGAGCTCGAGGAGTTTTCTTGGGCGAGGGAATTCTAGAAGTCTGTGCTGAGACTGCTGCTCCTGTTAACTGGTCCCACATAAAACCAAAGGTAACAAGAAGCATGAGAAGTACAAGAAGTACAAGTGCAATGACAAAATAACTTCATGGCCAAAATGTACTTTTAGTAGCAATTTAAGTTTACTTATGTCAAGTTTTTACTTGAGTATTATTTTTTCTAAATAATTGCTACTGTTATTTGGGTGCACTTTTTGGCCATTTCACTTACCATGAGTAACTTCACTGAATGATGAACAAGCATATTTTAATGTAAGATGCACCAGACCCAGACAGTTAAAGCTTTGCTAAATAATAGTCTTACCCTAACAGAGTATACCACAATTTTTAGTTTAAATGAATCTAATGTTGACAAAGTAAAATCATTTGGAGACGTGTTTCATGTGCCAAGTTTGTTGTTTTCCAATCAATTGTACATTTGTCTTCATTATTTTCTGTTGCTTTTCAAGACACTGGAGTTTAAACATAGCATTTTAGTCTCTCTGATTGCATCATTTCAGAAAGTCAATCAGATGCTATGTTTAGGTTCTTAGTACTTTAATAGCCTTCTTACCTGTTACTTTTTTTTCTTGGAAGGCTTTTAATAACTTTTTTACTTTTAATCAAGTAAATATGTTCAGGTAAAGCTTTTCTTTCTTAAGGCAATTTTTTGTATACTCTACTCACCTTTGCCTATGAAGTTTATAAGCAATTCATAAAGGGTCGCTGTAAAATGTCTCTGAGATTCTCAGCATTTCTATTCCTCTCAGCAGCAGACTTTATGATGTAATAGAAACACGCCTTTACAGATTTACAGCTTGGTACAGGTATCAGTACTAAATCTGGGCCCACTTCACCTCTGGGTGAAGTTTCAGGCAATTTGTGAAGAACAATACAGATACCTCTCTTTGGCACATTTTATAAAACTGTCCCAAAGGTTACCTGGGCTAGGACTTTGGCAATTTTTATTTTATCAAATTGCCCACTGCTAAACTTTTTGTTAATTAAAACATATTTTTTAAAATACTCAAAATTTTGTCAACCTCTGAATCTAACTTCTAGTAAGATATATAGGGTTTATTCTCAATTTCTGTAATGTAGGGTAAGACTTTTTCAGTCTGACATTTTTTCATAGTTTTTTATTTTAGTAGTTTAAAGTTGTCATTTAACTTATCTTTTCTATTAGCATTCTCCCTGTGGAAAATTAAATTCTTTAGACAGCTTAAAGGCCTTTTTAGATTTACAGCTGTGGATCTTACTATCATCAAGAGTAAGTTTATTACAGTCTAACACATTATCAATGAATAAGTCCCCATGTATGAGCAGTCCTAAGAATATTGGACAGGTAGCATCTGTCAAGAAGGAAGCATTACCCTTTTGTCTCCTCCAGAGCAAATGAAGCTGTTGCTTTCCAAGGACTACTTAAGTTCCCCAATAACAGGTTTGAAAGTAAAATTATTACTTGTTAAAAGCTATAATATTCACAGAAAGCTACTAACTTAAGATATTTTTATTCTATGCTAAACATTAAAACAAGGCTATGGACAAATATGTCTGTATAGGGTTTATTTATTCCATTTAGTTATGCTTAAGCCTAAAAATGTTCAGTTCTCATTAACTTTTTAAACAATCATAACCTTACCCAAGTAAATGAGGTGTTTTTAATGGTATTTGCTGAACCCAGGGTGGGAGGAGACATTGGGAGAGGCAGGTCCAATCATCCTCCAGTTTGGACGAGCTACTGAGACTCACGGATTTTCCTGACTGGAAGCTGTGGAAGTGTCGTATGAGGTTGCAGCCGCCACAGGTTCCCAGAGAGGTTTTCTCCTTTCCACCTATGGTTGGTTCACACCGCTCCACACGCTATGCTGCAGAATCTTACAGCCTGGAAATACTTAAAGGTTGGATCCTGTGCAAATCACTGAATATGGGTTAAAGAAGGGTTTTCATCACTGCCTTTTCTCTATAGCCATAGATGAAGAGTGGCAGCGTACTCAGTGTATGCCTAGAGAGACGTGCATCGATGTGGCCAAGGAGCTGGGCACTGACCCCTCAGTTTTCTTCAAGCCACCCTGTGTGTCTGTCTATAGGTGAATTCAACACATTAGCTCCAGAACTCGAACTTCTACAGACATTTAAAGCTGAATTCCTTCTTTACTTTTATCAAAGCTTAAAAAAAAACAGTATTTACAATGATTTATAAGTTCTGTTATTTTTTTCTTGCTGACAGGTGTGGTGGTTGTTGCAACCAAGAGGGCATCACCTGCAGGAATACATCTACTGTATATGTGAATAAAACAGTGAGGAACCACCCTTGATCAATATGAGCATGGATTTTAGTGAAGCAGCAGTTTTTAGGACTTAAATTGAACAACATTTTTTGTTCTTTAGGTTTTCAGTATAATCCCTTTTAAATTTGTGCCAGAACCAATGCTGATAAAAGTAGCAAATCATACTGCATGCAGATGCATGGAGCCTGCAATAATTCGACGTAACGCGCAGCAACACAGGAGCAGTGGGTAAATATGGAAAGTCTGAAGTCAGTCTTTTGTTACTATTTTTGGAGTTAATGCTTTCTCATTGTATTTAATGTCAGCTGCCCTCTGATGGGACAGATCTTGGAAGCAAAGGACTCCAGGAGACTTTGTGCCAGTGGGTGGATTTGGGATTTTTCAAGTGAAAGATGCATACCTTACCCCTTCAGTGCTCCAGGTTAGTTTTTCGTAAAACATTTTCTCTGTCTTGCGGTATATTTTGGAATTAAACTTCAATGTTGTTTTTTTTATGTGCAAAAGTAAGCCTGTGAATAAATTGGATTTTGAAATGTCGCTATATCACTACTGTCTTCTTAACTTAAAACTGCATCAATATTGTCCTTTATTTAGAGTTTCCCCTCAGTTCCTGGATGTCCGACTGTGAGATAGACGCAGAGCGCTGTGAATGTCTGCCTAGACCTGAGCCGATTCTGCAGCCCAGACCCCTCTAATCTAAGGTCTTCCATGGACATCCACAGAAAACAAAGTTTTCATAAAGCCTCATGCAGGTAGAGGTTTATTATATATATATATATATAGGTCTATATTTCAGCTTCCCTTTATTAGCTTCCTGTTAAATCCAGAACATGATTCAAAATTATCCCTCTCAAGTATAAAGCCCTTGATAACCAAGCTCCATCTTATATCGGTGACCTGATTGTTCCTTATGTTGCTAAAAGAGCACTTTGCTCTAAATTTGCAGGTCTATTAGTGATTCCTAGATATTGCTGTCAAGTCTCCTGTTTTGGCCGTTAAATTCCTGCCTTCTTCCTGCATTAGCAGTCTCCCATAAATGTCATGTATTGAATTGAAACATCGCCAAACTCCGCCCCTCCCTTTCCCAACCCGAAGCAGAAAAGTTAATCCATGCCTTTGTCTCCTCCAGATTGGACTACTGTAATGCCCTCCTCGTCGGGGTCCCTGGCAAAAGTCTACAAAAGCTGCAGCACATCCAGAACTGTGCTGCCCGGGTCCTGACGAGGAGGCGCAAACACGAACACATCACTCCAGTCCTCAGGTCCCTTCATTGGCTGCCCATCCAACACAGAATACATTACAAACTTTGCCTCCTCACTCACCAGTGCATACATGGAACTGCCCCGGCTTACCTCAAGGAACTCCTCACACCTCACACCGCCTCCAGAACCCTCCGCTCCACCACCTCCACCCACCGACTGCACCAGCCAAGAGTCAAGCTCTGCACAATGGGAGATAGAGCCTTCCAGGCAGTTGCCCCACAACTCTGGAATGGCCTCCCAGAGTCCCTTAGGGTCCCACAGAGTGTGGAGGCATTCAAAAAAGGCCTCAAGACATTTTTATTTAAAAAAGCCTATGAACATTAGTTAGTATTTTATCTGTGTGGTTTTATGGTTATTTTACTGTTTTGTTTTTACTACGTATGTTATTTTATTGTAATGTCTCATTTTAACTATGTATACTGTTTTTATTGTACGGTTTTGTTTTAACTATGAATTCTGTAGAACTTTGAGATTTTTTTTTAAATGTAAAGTGCAATACAAATAAAATGTATTATTATTATTAATTATTGTATTATAGAATTATATATATTAAAAACATTTGATCTGCCTCTCCAAACAGAACTGTTGCTAGCATGAAAAGTCAAAATCTGATCACCTTATTGTAGTTTGCAAATGGCTTACGAATGTTAAGATTTCTTGTACACATGTCTTAAAATACACAGAATACTAGAGCTTGGTTGTGGTAGTCAGATTGCTCACAGCAGATATGGCAAAATTTCTCTTATTTTCAAATCCCAAATTTGACAGGTTTGTTCCTATTCTTTCTAAAATGGGAGGCAGATCTTTTAGTCATCGAGCTGAGCTCCTCTCCTGTGGAACTAAGTACCAGTTTCAGTCTGTGAGGCAGACACACTGTCTGCTTTTAAGGCTAGGCTAAGACTTTCCTTTTTTAGAAAACTGATATTAAGAAAAGCCTAGGTTGTCCGGAGCTGTCTCTGTAGTTATGCTGCTATGGGCTTAGACTGCTGGAGAACAAAGGAACTCCTTTTCATCATTCTGCTTCATTCCATATATGTTCTCCAACTGTGCCTTATTTGTTAGTTTAACCCATAGTTTTATGTCATTTCTCCTTTTCTCTTCAAAGTAGCTTCATCTGGCCTGTTTCTCTTTGACTGTGGGATCATCCTGGAAAGAAATATCAGCAGAGCTGCTGCCATCAACACCTCCAATTATAAATGATAGAGCTGGGCCTGTTTTTCAGAGCTTAGTCCTGTTGTCTCCTAGAAATCCTATGGGTTCAGCTTTTAAATTGACCAACTTTATGTGCTCTCTTCCATCTCTTTTGGCATTAAAATTGCTCCAGAGCTCATCTGCTTAACCGTTGTCTTTTATAAACGGAGCCACCTATGGAGCTAGTTTAGTTACACAAACAGTATAAAGGATAAGTGCTCCTACGTTCCTTTTTATGTCTCTGTGTCTGTCTCCTTAAACCCCCAGTCAGCCTCAGCTTACACTGAGCCTGGTTCTCCTGGATGTTTTTCCTCTCCATTTTCGCTAAATGAATGCTTGGTGTGAGGGACTGCTGGACAGTTAACACAATGAAAGCACATTTCTACTATTGCCCCATTACTCATCTAAAAGAAGTAAATCCCCCAATGGCAGTGACTCGATGCAATCCATTGTTTTTTCCTAGACTTAAAATTTTTAACCTGTTTGACTGTTTGACTGGATTGAACTGTCTCTGTAAAATGGCTTAGACCAGAAGTCTTCAACAGTGGGACCGCGACCCCTAGGGGGTCCACAGAGGTACTGCATGGGGGTTTCGAAAGTTTTGGTTCATTATACAATTTTTTTTTTTTTTATTATCTACTGCAATTGTTTTCCATTAATTGAAATGTCTTTAAATCCACATTAACATGAATTCAACACACCATGGTAAACAGATAAATGGAGGCGGAAGATGTCTTTCAGTTATCAATGCACACATTTAGCGACACACAGAAGCTCTTTCAAGCTGGGCACCGTTTCATTCAAACACCTGTCCCATCAACCAGGAATCAGAATCAGAAACACTTTAATAATTCCAGGGCTAAATTGCTTTTGTTACATGACTCCATCTGTAATAGAGTGACTATAGGACCAGTTTGATAGAACACATTTTCATACAATATATATAATTAGGGGGTCCCCGCTCCATCTCGCCATCAGTTTGGGGGTCCTTAGCCCGGAAAACGTTGAAGACCCCTGGCTCAGACGATGCTTTTTGTGAATTGGCGCTATAGAAATAAACTGAATTATATTGTTTCCAATCTAAAATATTGCAAACATTAAAGAACATGTATTTCAAGAAAAAAAATTGTTGCGGGTTATTATTTTTTTTATTTTTTTACTGCATTTGAAAAGCTTGAACAACATTTTTTAAGATTGTGTAAATTACCATGTTCACTGGTTTTGGAGCTGCAGTTGCTTGATACCAGAGAAACAAAAACCAACCCCTGTTTTCTGCAAATAAAAAAAGCCTGCTTCTTAGATCTCTACTGAGCTCAGTTTAAATGATGGAAAATGAAAGGCAGAGTGAGTTACTCTCCGTACTTTATCTGATTTGTGATCCTTATTGATTCCTCAGATGCAAATTGTCCAAGTAGAGCTTCACTGGAGATTAAAATTATGACGAGCTGCTCAACAAAGAGCAATGACAAATATTAAACATGTCCACAAAATAGTTTTTGTGGACATTTTAGTGTTTAAACTCTTAATACTTACTAACTTTCAGAAAGATGAAGAAGTAAATCGACCTCTTCGGAAATAGGTTTTGCTTACATCACAAAAGCAGTGGAAGCATAGGATCAAATATAGTGGTGAACAACCTTAAACAAGTCTGGCTGTTAGACATAGCATTAAAAAGATAATATATCAGTGTGAAAATTCAAAGCAAAATGCACATAACACTCTGAGGACATTAATTAAGTGCAGCTTAATGTTTGCTGGAAAAATTTTCATAGTTTTAGTCAGATATCTGACATAGTGACACTCACACAGGGTTAAAACTGTAGAACAAAGTGTCCCTTTTGAGCCAGTGAGCCTTTTTAATTGACAATACTGTGAATCTTTTGCCATGAACCAGTCAAAAAGGTTATCTATTTATTCCCTAAAAAGACACATCGCCTGGTGAGATTCATGCATAAAGTGTGATACACCCGAAGGTCTTTATTAACTTAAACATTTCTAAAATAGTCAGAAACCCAACATGAAAAATGACAAAAAGCAACCAAGCCATGGAGAAAGTGAGTCAACAGGAGACTTGTCATTCAGGCGGATATCGCCAAATGCTCAAAGAACACATTCAGAGTCACTGCAGGACCCCTCTGATAAGCCTAATGATGCTGGAGGTGGTGAACAAGATGATGATGAGACAATGGTGAGATGAAACTACAGAATAACTTAACAATGAAAATTTAGTCTATAGTATTTTAAAGACAAAGCCTAAAGATGATATATTACCATGGGGAAAAATGTACACATATGTATTAAATTTTTAATTTCTTATAGGTTACGAAATAAAATAGAATCTAACGTTTAACTTAGGTATTGAGGATGTTTGTTTGGAAAATGAATAAACTGTTGCTAATAGGAAGCATTTATAGTTATTTTAAAACAACTAAAAATACTTTAATGTGCAACTGAAACCTTGTCATAATGGCTAAGGATCATCATATAAAACACCATTTATTAGCATTAATAACGAGTCACCTGGCAGCAAATGTTGCTAGAAGTGGTCTTTCAGTGTGTTGAAAATACAGCTTTGAGAGTCAGCTGCCCTGTGCAACATGCAAGAATTAAGAATAAAAGACATGTTTTGTTCGATGTTGCATAAATTATGTTTAGCTGTTGTTTGTTTTGCACTGTTGTATAGTTTTTAGATGTTTTGGGGGTTTCTGAACACCTTTGATGTGAGCTGTTTCGATCAGTATTTTTGTCACTTTGGGAGAATGTACCATTAGCAGGAGGTAGACAAATTCTTCTACAGATGGGCTTTATGCACAACCCCACTATTTTTGTTGTATTCTTTTATATATATATATATATATATATATATATATATATATATATATATATATATATATATATATATATATTTATATATATTTATATTTGCCCCTTTCTTAAAACAAACATATATGGTCAAATAAAAGTATTTCAAAGAGTGTTATTTTTTTTCTTAAATCTAAATTGTGATCGCGCAAATTGTCATTAAGTTCTGGCCTTGGATTGTTTAACCTCCATTTATTTATAACCACAGATATCTAATCTTCATCTATAAGTTCTTCATTTATCCACTCCTCTGAAGAGTTTGCAGCAGATCATTCCTCTTACCTTTTAGCACTTTCTACTTTTGATATTTTTGTTAATTTTGTGCCCGACCAAAAGAAGCCATTTGCCTTGTGCCACAAAAGACAACAACGATTAACAAAAAATCTATAAAACACTTTAATCAACTGAAGACCTTTAAAGCAGAGAAGTATGTCTATTATTACGTAGCCAGAGCGGATACAAAAGACTGAGCCTGACCTTTATTTTGAGAGAGCTCATCGTAGTTGTTTGAATCCTGGATTAACTGTTAACTTTCTGTTCTTGAGCTATATCCCATGACCATAGTTGAGAGTTAGAATGCTTAGGTCCTTCTTAACAACAATAAACTGTGGAGATGACTGTATACCTGCGGCCCAAATATATCTATCCATTTTCTGTTCCATCCTGTTTTGCTTATGAACAAGACAGCATCTTTTTTCCAGTTTAGATCTATCCTCTTAGACCTAGAGAAGCTGAAAATCATGCTGGCCATGTTACACATTCCTGTGAACTGCTTAAGTACATGCTGAAGGTCATGGCCTATGTATGCTAAATGTTGATTACTACATTAGTGTGTGTATTGTATTTGTTATACTTGTGTGTTATTGGACTCATAATGGTGATAAAATATTACAAAAGGAAAATGTATGTACGAAACACACATTTTTATCCATAGCAGGCACATATTACTTTTGTTTGTCCCTCATACTTATGTAGTTGAGCTACACATAATAGATATACATACTATATTGTGGGGTACTCGATCCAATATCCGTCACAAAACTAGGGTTTTGGGTCAGTTGTTCTCATAACTATTGTTGTTGACTAGTGTTCTTTGGTTGAGCAATATAGTTTGATCATGCATTTTCTAATATACCAAACCACAAAATGGATAACAAAAGCATGTATGATTTGTGCCGATATATTGGGTCAGTATTGATGTTGGTAAATATCCAGAGCTACAACTTTATACTTTCTCTTGTTACTGTAGCAACCTGATGCAACGAAACCAAAGAAGTCTCCTTCTTTTTTTGTTTTATGATGTTTGTTAAACACACAACAACAGATAATAAAAACAATCCAATTAATAAAGAAATTATTGAAGCAAAAATTGACTATTGCTTAAATAAATTTTTAAAAATCACACTTATATAAAATATAGACATATCATACCTACTCAGAGCATAACAAATAAGAAAAAAAGAAACATGCAAGATTGCAAACACACATCTATATATAGATAGATAGATAGATAGATGATAGATAGATAGATAGATAGATAGATAGATAGATAGATAGATAGATAGAAACATACACTTCGTGTCTCTTACACATAATCCTCCTGATACAGCTGCCTACCATTGATCATGGTCAGACTTGCCACAGAATGGTGCGTGCTGTGGATTGAAGTCATGCGTGTGTTATAATGAGTTGGGCTTTGCTGGGAGTGTTTGAGCATGAAATTACAGCAGCATAAGAGCTGTTGGTTGAACTGCTTCTTGAAGCTCTTGCTTAGCAGGTAAAGGGCAAAGGGGTTGATGCAAGAGTTGGTGAAGGCCAGAATCCGAGCAATAACGCTGCAAATGAAGTGACCCAGAGAGATGTCCACCTGTGAGAGAGATAGAATAGAGAGAAAGCTGATTATAAACATGTGCAGTGCTGCAAAAAAAAAAGAAAACTTTCCATAAGGATCTCTTTTTTTTGTCACATATGAATGTTTCCTAACAAGTTAAATGTATATATTGGCTGGAATAAATGCAAATAATTATGTTCTGATTCTATTTAAGGGAAAAAGGCTAACCAACCAACCTGACTGAAAGAGATGAGCTTTAATAGGCTTGTGTGGTAGGATAATATATACATTATAATATAATAATACTTTATAAACGACTTTATGCTTGTCAAAACCCATTATAGATAGTACACATTTTTCTTGTTGCCTTCATCTTAATTCTGAGGTCAGCTGTAAAAAAGAACTAACATGGACTGTAGTCAGACCTTCATTTTAGGAGAACTGAAAGTCTTAGAAAACTGAAAATTCTCAATTTAAAACCACAAAAGGCTAAACTTTATAAGTAACAATCCTTACCAACAATAATAACACTAAAATACTAAATAGCTGTGTTCTAAGTCATACAATATGTTTTACTCAGAAAGGATCGGGAAAAAATGATATTTTGACAGCCCCTGATTTTGGTTTAAAGAAAGAACATATGTCAAAACTATGGAGGCAGATAAGGACTATATTTTTTTTTACTGAGGGTATTTAAACTGTACAAATCATAAATAGGAGTATAAATGAAAATCTTTCTTGACTAATTGATGAACCTGTGAAAATAGTTTTCACCTGTTAGCTGGTTATAACAAAGTCCCCAAAAATACCTGAAAAAGCACAAATTAAATCAGATGTTGTTTTTTTATCGCTTGAGAGGGTCTAGTCTGTTGTTTATTTAACTGTTGTAATAGCAGACAGCAGCCTTATAGTGGTAGCTATATACTGACAGACAGACGGACGGA